GACATTTTCACTTAGGGGTGTACTCACTTTTGTGGCCAGCGGTTTAGACATTAATGGCTGTGTGTTGAGTTATTTTGAGGGGACAGCAAATTTACACTGTTATACAAGATGTACACACTACTTTACATTGTAGCAAAGTGTAATTTCTTCAGTGTTGTCACATGAAAAGATATAATAAAATATTTACAAAAATGTGAGGGGTGTACTCACTTCTGAGATACTGTGTGTAAATAAATAAATAAATAAACCGGCTGAAATGTTTTGAAATCACTTGTACCCTACCTGATTGAAAAAATCCAGTCTTTCTCTCTGCCTGTGTCAATTTGAGTCTTGTTAAAGTTTTAAATCCCTGCCGCCAAGATGCTCCTCTGTCGGTCACGGATTATGGAAAGTGAAACTTAAATCTTTAGGGGTGGTTGGATTTATTCACGCACATTAAAATATTTATTTGAAGCTTCTTTCTTTTCAGATTCTTATTTACAGCATTATTTTAATAGGCTGTATATTAACTTGTTGGGAGAAAACCAGTAGTTCTATGTGAAATCAGACATTTGAGCACCCTCATATAGCCAAAATGGCATGATCATAACACCCCGCGAATATTCGACTGTGAGATTGGTAGTCGAATCAGGCTCCTCCTATCGAAGTCTTTTTTTTTTTTTAAGTCTTTAATTTTACATTCTCATAGTGACAACCGACCAGTTCCACTGTTTTATTATTTATTATTTTACAGCTGTATTATATTATATTTCAGTATGGTTTGATGATACTGCTGTGTAATGTGACTTGTTTTATTTCTTTTAATTTGTTTAAGGTCCATTACCAGGATTAGCTATGGCAACTACAGTGAGTAACGCTATCAAAAACCGGGCGTCTAATGAGGAGATTCTTATTGTTCTAAAAGATGTCCCTAATCCAAACCAGGATGATGATGATGGTGGGTCTGCCTTTAACATCTTTAGTCTAGGCCTAGAGCTATCAATTGATTTTAAATATATAATTGTTAGAGATATTTAATAAATTAACAAAATATTTATTATATATTTACATAATTCATAATGCATGTATATACATATTACATATATTTATTTTCCAAAAGCATTTTTATATTATTTGTATTTATCTTTAATTGATTTTTATTATTTTATTAATGTTATTCATTTTAATTAATACTTTTAAATTGTTGGTCTTCTTAAAAGGTTATTACACAAACACTGAAAAAAGTTATTAACTGGTTTTATTCGATTAAAAAATATTGTTTAACATCACTGAACCAACCTATATACATTAATTCATACAAGCAAAACTAATTTATATGGGTTAAATCAGGTAGAAGTAGCTCTTTAAAGTAACAATTGCACATTACCACTATTTACAGTTTACTTTTACTCCTAAAAGCAGAGAATTTTGTCATGATACTTTGAACTTGACACTGTGTATTCTGAGTATATTGGGTTCTTATTACAGATTGTTTGATGTTCCTCATTTGTATATCGCTTTGGATAAAAGCACCTGTGAGTGATTGTACAGTCATGGCCAAAAGTTTTGGCAGTGACATAAATTTTGTGTTTTGCAAAGTTTGCTGCTTAAGCTGTTGTGGTGTTCATTCACATTGTTTCTAGATTGTGGTGTAGAGTGATCGGATGCATTTAAAATAATTGCTAAAAGCTCAATTGGCCAAAAAAAAACTTTTCACAAAAAACAAATTTCACAGTTTTTTGATCCTGACACAAAATGACCAGCTAACATTAATTGACTAATCATATCAGCAGCACATGTGAAAGTGTGAATGAGTACTAGTCAGGTGAAATCACAATCATACTAATTAGATTGTTAGAGCAGACTGATTGCTATAAAAGGAGGGAAGAAGAGCTTCCAATCATTGTGTTCTTGTTAGCAATGGTTACCTCCAAAGAAACACGTGCAGCCATCATCGCTTTGCATCAAAATG